TCTCAGATTTCTCTCCGGCCACTGATCGCTCTGCTGCTTGGGCTGTCCCTTTGGATCCGCCCTCTCGCTCAGAAGTCGAATGTGAGATCAGACTGTTGAAGTTAACTAAAACTGTGCGACCAGACAATCTTCCTCCAGCCCTCTCCAACTTCAGGGGCCTGCTCTTGTGGATGACTTACACCTGTTACTAGGGAAACTGCGCGAGCAGTAACTGTCCCAACCGACTGGAGCCGCAGCGGCACAATAGCGGAGGTGTTTTCCCACCTCTAGCCGCTCTGTCATAGTCCCAATCTTTAAGGGAGGCTCACGATCGGAATGCAGCAACCATGGAGGAATCAGTCTGATCTCCTTTGCCTCCAAATTGCTTGCCTCTGTCATCCTTCACAGACTGACTGGCACTTGTGAAAGCCAGATTCGTGAAGAGCAAGCCGGGTTTCGTCGAGGTCGTGGCTACATTGACCACATCTTCACTTTGCATCAGTTGTTGGAGCACCGTCACATATATTGGCGGCCCACCGTTGTCGTGTTCCTCGATATCAAAGGTGCATTCGATTTGGTTTATAGTCGTGCCCTTTTGGACTGTCTGCTAAGGAAAGGTATGCCCGAAAAATATGTTAATATGCTCCGAACATTATGCGCGCGTAGCTCAGGCAGAGAGAGGGCTTACGGCCAGCTGTCGTCGCCCTTCAATATCTCCAGCGGTGTGAGACAAGGATGCCCGCTGTCACCTTTCTTCTTCAGCTTCGTTATTGATGAAGTCATGGAAATCGCGTTCACAGGACAAGATTTGGTGTGACTCTGCTCCTATGAAAAACGACTACTTGACTTTGAGTATGCTGACGATATTGCCCTAATCTGTGACAGCTCCCAGATGTGCCAAGCTGCACTGGACAGATTAGCACTTGCTGTCCGTCACTTTGGGTTTTGCTTCGCACCCTCAAAGTGCAAAGCGTTCCTCCAAGATTGGTCTGGTCCGCCTCCTTCGATGACCCTTGGTGGGGATCAACTAGAAGTCTAATAATTCAACTGCGTGGGAAGTTGTATCAGCGCCCGTGGGATTGAAGATGAGATCACGAACCGTATAGCAAAAGCTCGAGGCGCTTTTGCTAACCTTTGCCACTTATGGCTCCGGCGCGACATTACTCTTGCCCTGAAGGGCAAAGTGTACAGTGCAGCGGTACGTTCGACCTTACTGTACGGTTGCGAAACCTAGTCCCTTAGATCAGTGGACTTAAAGAAGCTAATTACATTCAACCACCTGTGCCTTCACAATTTGGCTCACATCTGGTGGGAACATCACGTGAGCAACGAGCGGGTTCAACGCCTTGTTGACGGCACATGAAAAGGAACTGAACCGCTCAGCAGTGTTATTTCATGCATCAGGCTTCGATGGTTCGGCCACCGTGTTGCGCATGCCTGCCCACCGCTTCCCGCGACGTGCGTTGTTTTCGCTCCGGGTGTGTGGATAGAAGAAGAGGAGGGGTGGCCAAGCGATGATTTGGTCGAGAGGAATGAAGGCCCTCACTTCGGAGCTGGCCTCAGTTGGAGCGTCTCGGCTCCCTGATTGGGGTCCGAAAGACGATGAACACGTTTGGCTGGATACACTTGTTGATATGGCTAGGAGCCGAGCTCTGTGGCGTTCGTACTGAGTTTCTTTGTCCCACCCCATCCCTCGTCTCACGCTCCGACCACGATCTCACTACTTAGCCCCATATCATTTTGCATAGTAATATTTTTGCTGCATAGTAGCTGGCTGGTGACTTACCGGGACAATGCCCATCCGTTACCGACAGCACAGCTGGCTTGCATCTGTTGCATTTTCCCTTTTTTATGTACTGCGGCACAGTAGCTGAGGTGTTTCCCACCTTTAGCTGACGTGTATACTGTTAATGAAGACCTTCACAGCATCTAACCTCTGCGAATCCGCGTCGCGTGGCCCATAACCTGAGAGACGAGTAGGTCCAACTGTCGCTAGACAGAAGGGGACATTCTTCCCGTTGCTTTTCCGTGTCATCGTTTGTCCGCTGCAATGCTCTTCCAATTACATCCATAAGGCGCAAATAATGCTGGACGATGAAGGTTTTGAGTTGACATGACGAGCCAATGCAAACGGTCTTTGAGGATAATTCCCTTAAGCTGGACTGTTCGCTCCGGGTACTCGGCTTGCTTTCATGCTTCTGATACCACGCAGGAGCAATATTTCGCAAGCAGCGGTTGTCAAAAGCTGACAATCTTTTTAAATCTTGCGTGCAGGCCTGATCTCACAGCAGTACAGCAGAACTGTTCTTGAACTTGAGACTGGTATCGCTTTTACGCCACAAATGCCACAGCTTAATGCATCATGCATTGCGTGCTTTAAAAGCTCACTGTAAAATTTCGCATCTAATACTGTCACCAACAATACTGCCTACCTCCGCTATGGGTATAGTTACTAACTTGCTACAGGCTATCTCCTGTAATGGTGGGCGCAGGCTAAGACACTTGCTGATTCTATGGTGAAGTTTTACAGCTGGATGGGACAAAATACAAACCATATTTAGATACCTTTGTGGCTAAAGCGGTTCACAGTGTTATGGGCAACCCGTTGTGTGCGCACCAGCAGTGCGATACCACCGGCATGATCCCAGTCCACGACTCTGTTGATGCTCAACGCCTCAGTTCTTAGCTCCTTACAGTGCTTAGTACAGAAGATTGATACTTGCAAAGTTCAACAGAACTGGCGAGCTAAATCACGGACAACAACAAACGAAAAATAGTGATTGCTATAAGTGGGACTATACATTTCCTTGAGCATTACAACAAATTTTCCGGACACAGTTTTTTGTTATACTGGCACATAGACTAGGTTTATTTACAGAATCAAGAGCGATTCGAACGTCCAAGAACACCACGATTGTCGATCTTCAATGAACTTAACGGTGTGAAGATTTGATCGATGTAACTGCGAGTAGTTGAAAACCTACGAAGCGGGATTGTCATCGATGCCTTGGACGCAACTGCGATTCTTGAGATTCCACGGTAGCCGGCACATTTGCTCCGCGAGCCTTTGTTGCGAATTGTGATAATACACCATTTCACACCATCATTGCTTGGTGGTTTTCAAATCAAAGAAAACCACCGTGCTTAGTCGTCTCTCTACTTACCGTTGTTCTATCACTTAGAGTAGTTCCGCTTTGTGCTCGCTTCATTTTCTATCAGGCTTAAAGTCAGTCTGGTTCTGGTTGATTCGGCCCTTACGACAACCAGTACGACACCTGGATGCGACGAAAATCGGACTAATCCCGGCCCGTGGCCTAAAAGATCTTAAGCTTACCTTGTAATCCGAGGGCGCGGGTTCTATCCTACATGTGTCCCGGGCGAACCTCATAGTATCTCTAGCCTATGCACGACTGTCGGTGGATGCCCCGGTACTGTGTACTAGCATCCTTCTAGTACCTTTTGCTGATACTTACTAGGTGATTTTTGCGTTTTTTTTATCATCACCATTTGCCAACTAAATGAAGATGTCATCGTTCCACTGCGCTCCTCATGTGCTCCATACACTCCCGATAATCTTTTGTCTGATTGCCCCCCAAGAAAGCGACTGTCAAACAACCATCGGAGGAGCCACAGCCACACGAAATGCGCAAGGTGCGCGTCTCCCTTTCCGAATACCGTCGCCGCCGAGGCTTGTCTTCCAGCTCGTCATCTGCAGTTGGCAAATCGGAAAATGGGCCGGAACAACAACAACGACTGCCAGTGAAGGGATCAGTCAAACCGGAACTCAATCTGCCTCACCAGCTTCCTGCTAGTCCCACCCGACTGTTGGACGAAATACCACGATTGTATCAACAGTTCCAGTTACCAGACAAGCATTTGACATCATCACATGACAGCCGCCAGTTGGTTTCCGCCACCGCCACCTTCACAGACAATGTGACTGGTCTCGTACCAATGGGACGACCTGATGCGACGGCTAACAAGGGGATCATTCTAGGGAGTGAGGTCCATTCGGAGGAACGTGGCCCACACACTCCTAGCGAGCCGCTGGATGACGATGATACGGAAGGCACCAACACAGTGTACGTGCGCCGTAGTAGCAAGTCCAGTTCGGACACTGTCCCTGAGACGGCGGAAATTCCCAGTGGGCAACACCCAAGCCGTTTCACTTCTCTGCGGTTAGAAATTCCGGCTGATGAGCACTCGGTAGCGAACACATGCAGCCCTGAATTGCTCTCGTCCGGTTCGAAGAAAGATCACAATGATACTGGCATTCGTCCTGGAAAAGATGACACATCATCCATTTCTGTTCGGGTAAGTTCTGCCACTTCATTCACTTTTTTGTTCCTCTCTTCCTCATTCGAACTCGTTCATGCCACAGAGTTTACCCTCGCTCCTGTATTGCTTTGGTCATTTCTGCGATATCCTGGTCCCCACGTATAATCGCTTGCACTTCCTTGACAAAGCATTGGTGGTGCACTGCTTCTGTTCATTTACGAACCACTGCTACAACCTAGGCTGTTACCGGATCCAAACGAGCGCACCACATGCATTTCTCGCATATCCATTAGCCAGACGTTTGTCTGTTTGTATTGATTGATGCCGAAACTGGTTGGCTGGTTGGTGAAATCACCTTCTCTGGCGTAAGCAAAATGCACACCGAGGCAGTTGCTTTGAAGCCCAAACCGTTGTGTTGTTGTGCTTTTATTCTACTTAATGTGTGTTTCGTTCCCCGGTCGCCAATACTTTTTCTTAATAAAACATCACTAGTCCTTCTAGTGATTCCCTAAGTACTTCCACTCTTGCCTGATTTCCTGATTGGTTCACGCAAAATGCAGCACTTTCCGGTACGTCCCTCGCACCTTCAAAGTGCAGGTCACTGTCGTCTGACCGTTTGCTGGTGGCTGAAATGAATACACTCTTGCACTGTAATTCGGAAGTCACCGGTTCGAATCCGCGTAAATGCAGGCGACCTCGTGATATACCCAGCTCTTGCTCGGCCGGCGGTGTTAGTATGGCAGCGAAACGTCGGTACGATGTGCCGGTGTACTGTTGATGCCTGTCTGCTGTTACCACCTGACTAGGTTTTCACTCCGTCGGTTCCAGCTGTCACCGAAGTACCGAGTACTTTGATCGATCGACGCACCCACCTTGTTAGTGCTACCAATTCTGGTGATCACATTAATAAGGAAGCTTATATACACATCAGCAAAAGCCGTGTGGTTTTTCGGAATCTCAGTCATCTGTGGATGCGGTGCGATGTCATCTTGTCAATCTGTCACGGGGTTGGGTAGCGCCGTGATTAGCTCATTCGTACCTTGCGAATTATGAACACCGCTGGTGATCTGAACACTCAGGCCAGAAAACTGTACTGAAGAGCTCCAGCTGGATAGTCAACACCGCTTGGGCTGCGGCAACGATAACGGTAAGCGGTTTCTACATTTGTGTAGAGAGGCCCGCCTGTCTCTTGCGGGCACTAACTTCTGAGACTGCAACTGTCGCTTGGTAGCCTAGAGCTCATAACTCACTGACGTAAATAGATTACATCGCGATTAGTTAGTGATTGAGAGGTTCCGTCGAAAACTCATTTGATTTGGAGTACAAGCGTGGACATTGTTCATGCACTTGTGTGTGCGACTCCGTTTCGCCTGAAGCCAAAAACGATGCTTTGAACGCATAGACACTTTCCATCTGGTGAAACCGTACTTTTTATATGCTTGTCAAACTACACTGGCGTTCGGGTTGAGCATGCCCTTGCTGAACGTAGTTAAACTTCAGTTGTTCGCTAGATCTTATTAGCAGCAAGCGTGTCTTCCTATGGAAAATCCGATTACTTTCTGAAACTTTTGATTTCTACACAGTCTCTGGATGTTCATCCGACGCATTTCGGCTAGGAGCGAACACCACGAGGCTCGCAAAGTTTTGGGAGCAAGATTGCGTGTTGGCCTGTTAAGAAACCATAAAACCTGGTGATCTCATCGTGCATCGGAACTGGAAACACTCGCTGCTTATGGCAACCATCGATGGTTATTCCATCTGCTCCGAGAAACGGGTAGCAAGAGACTAGGTGTTTGAGAGAATTAACATCGTATAACTGTCAATTCTCTGACTATTTCGTTGAGCATTTCGAAAATCCACTTAATCGGCATGAGTACCACATTCGTTGCTGGTCAGTGATCACTTTTCTCCCTGGGCCGTCCATTTGGCTCCGCCATCTCGCGCAAAGTCAAATGTGAAATCAGACTGTTAGAATCCAGTAAGGCCGCTTCACCGGATGATCTTCCAAATTCGGGGGACCTGCTCTTGTGGGTGATTTACGTTATTTCTTAGTGAACGTGGGAGCAGGAACCTGACCAAACTGATTGAAACGGCTGCGTTATTGCCCCGATCTTTAAGGGAGTACTCTTTGGAATGCGCTAGTCATAGAGTAATCAGTCTGATCTCAGTTGCTTCTGTAGTCCTTTACAGATTGGTTGGCGCCTGTGAAAGCCAGATTCGTAAAGAGCAGACCGGGTTTCGTCCAGATCGAGACTGCATTGACAATATTTTTACTTTGCATTAATTGTCAGGATATCGCCATACTTATTGGTAGCTCACTGTAGTCGTTTTTCTCGACGTCAAAGGTGCCTTCGGATCGGTGAATCGAAGTGCGCTTTGGGATTGTCCACTCAGAAAAGGTGTGCCCGAGACATCTGTACCCATTATCGGAGCGCTGTTCGCATAGTTCGGGCAGTATGAGGGCCTATTGCAGACTGTCGCCACCCTTCAATATTTCCAGCGTTGTGAAACGAGCATGCCAGCTGTCACTGCTCCATCGACGAGGTCATAAAATCTGTTCACCGGACATGACTTAGATGGTGTGGATCTTCTTCTGAGTGATGCAGATAGCGCAAGACTGGCCTCTACATTTTCGCCGAATATCTGGCTATACCAGTTTTGCAAAAATAAGTTGACCACTTCGGTCAAATCATTGTAAGACCGTTTTGCTCTATCCACTTTTGCATATAGGGGGCGATTTGTTGCTTTTTGACACGAAATTTTAACTCCTTTTTGACCACTTATGAATAAATGTTTCGTAAAAACTTTGCCCTGTCGACTAAACAGCTACCGAGGATTCTGTTCAGTAATCTGCGATCATTGCTCATGAATGCGGGGCCGTTTACTCGACTGACGACAATGCACCCTTATCGCTTTTGCTTATCCACTTGTCCAATATTGCATCTGTGAAATACTGGAACTGCACCCATCTAGCTACGTAGACCTCTTATTGCTCTGCTTTCTTGACTTAGAGTATGCCCCTGGTATTGTGTTAATCTGTGACTGCTCACGAACATGCTAAGCAGCACTGGACAGATTAGCACTGGTTGCCAGTTGTTTCTGGTATGCTTTACACCCTCCAACTACAAAGCTGTACTTTAAGATACGCGGGCTTCACATCTTTCGCAGTCTCTTGTTGGGGATCAACTAAAAGTCGTTCAGAAATTCCACTACGTAGGCAATTGTATCAACTGCACTGGGATATAAGAACCGTATCGCCAGAATTCGAGGCTTTTTCGCTGAACTTCGCCATTTAAAACGCTGGTGCGACATCACACGCCCTGAACAGTATGGTCTAAAGTGCCGTTCTTTCAACCCTACTGTACCGTTACGAAAACTGTCCCGTCAGATCGACAGACGTAACGAGGTTAGTTACGTTCGACCTCCGGTGCCTCCGCAGTTTGGCTCATCACTGGTGGGAACGCTGCGTGGACAGGGAGCTCGTTTATAGCACAAGAAGTAGAAGTGAACCACTCAGCACCATTATTTCAGGCACCAGGCTGCTCCGATGGCTGGGTTACATGTTGTGCATGCCAGCACACCGACTACCGGGATTTGCGTTGTTTGCGCGTCTTGGTTTGTGGATGGAAGGAGAAGAAGGGAGCCTAGCCGATACTTTGTCAAAAGGAATAGAGGCCATCATCTTCAACTTGGTTTCGGTTACCAGTCCATTGCCGGGTTGTAATCCAAAAAATACTAGTCACCTTTAGTTGGAGGTACTGGTTGATATGGTCAGTGGTCGGCCTCAATGGTTAGTTGTGTTGTAAGTTTCTCTCCATGCGTATTAAAAACAAGGCATTATGCTTTTTATTATCTACTTTTTTGATATTCTACCCGATTTGTCCTGGGGTCCGTAATCACGAGTCTGCTTTGTAGTCCGAGGGCACGGGTTCGAGCCTGCGTAGTGAACCGAGGGACCTTCACAGTATCCTTAGCCCATGCACGACTGATGGTAGTTGCGCGGCATCGACGCGTCCGCACTTCGTACGGACTTATTGCTGATGTCTGCAGTAGCTGATGTGTTTCTCGCCTCTAACTAACGCATGCAATTCTACTGATCGGGCTGATGATAATCATCTGAGGGGAACGCCAAGTGGACACTGCTGTGGTCCGCTAACTGGTGTTTGGCAAGAAATTCTCTGTTGCCTCAATAGAGTATCTGCTGAACCGCTTACGTTGGCTAGACCATGTCTTCCGCATGTCAGTCGACCGGATTTCTCGATGTGTATAATACACCCTCGTTGCACTAAGTTGGGCGAAACCGCGAAATGGCCGGTCGGTGACCTGACGTGGCGACATCAGTCTCAAACTCAAGAGCAGTGTATACATTGCCTGTCCGTGCGGTCCTCTTGTACGGTTGTTAGACCTGGTCGACTCGCTCGGAAGACATACAAGGTTTGTCAGTTTTAGACCACCGTTATCTGCGTAAGATTGCTCGCGTGTAGTGATAGCATCGTATAACGCAGAAGTCCTAGAGCGAGTGTTTGGTACATTAGCCCAAACCTCCAAACAGTTATTCTCCCACACTGCATGCGTTGGCCCGACTACCTATTGCGCATGCCGGCCTATCGACATCCCCGTCGAGCGTTATTTGCTCTCCCAGGAAGCGATTGGAGAAAGTGTCTTGGCTTACAACCAATGACGTGTAGAAGAAGCATGGAGAACGCAATCTCAAGCTTAACATCCGTTGCACGGGTCCGACTTCCAGGATGGGGACCAGGCCAATCGGACTGCCAGTGGTTACAAATATTGGAGGCTCTGGTGCGCAGCCGGCATCAGTGGAGACAGTACTGTTCACACGTGTTATCCATTAGTTAACGTCTCGTCGAACATGAAACTGCAAAGTACAAAAAAGTCCCAAAATACTGTCAAACCAAAATAACTCTTCTCCGTGTTGTATTTTGTTTCCCCTCTTTATTTCGCCATGGTTCTGATGGCACATTATCTCTAATCTGGCGTGGCGTAAGGGTGTACAAAATTTAAATGAGAGGTTTGGTTAGCCTGATGCATGCTAATTCCACGGATGGGGTGTCGGGGTTAACTTCCTCCCTGTTTAGATATCGTACCCCATATGACGTAGTCGCAGAGTTTTTAGCATTCCTGTTTCCCGTCTCCTGTATCTAAGTGCTAACATTCAATTGTGATTAATTTCAGTACACTTTCCTCTGTTCGCTACTTTCTCCTTACCTCATTTCTCCTCATCGTCTCTAAGCTGCGTTGCCATAGCGACACGAGTCGTGGCAACTGAATTCACTGCACTTTGGCGTTCCTACCTTGCTTTGCCAACTGAGCTGAATTGAATTGCCCAGACGAACCGCTCTTTGTCTTGTGCATTATCTTCCCCATTATTGACGTGGTTCCTGCGCTTGCTAAACCCTTCCTTGTCTGCGTGTTGGTTACCAGCATAACTTCCGTTGATCACAACGTGTACAAACGCTGTCTGCGCTAATTTTCGCTCCTACCAAGCCTTAACGCTGCTACCTGATGTGATTCCTGGTGCGCACTGCGTTCGTCGACCGTAGTCTTACAAGGTGTGACTCAGCAGCACTGACATTGTGTTCCGACGTCCGGCTTTATGGAACACGATGTGTCTCTACTTAACTATGGATACAAAACAACCCTCCACCTCAACCCCAAAGCTTTCATTGTACGTTGTGTGCGCGCGAGTAGACATTTGTGGTGACGCGAGACTGGCTTGTCCGTAAAGAACAGGTCGCCCCAGCATTTGGGGGCTTCGGGATCAGCCTCTTCGCTAGTTAGGCATCCTCCCGACTTAGCACAATTGAGAATTCAATAGGGCTTGGTCTGCTACATCTATGCACCACTTACTGACGTTGTCTGCAGTGTTTGTTGTCGAATTTCTCCAATTGCTTTTACTCTGTTCTCCTCTTTATTGCATCACTCTGGACCTCATGACACGTTAATCGAACATGGGTCACATCGCCTCCCTTGTCCATTGTGATCACACCAAACATTTTCATTTTCCAGTTTTGCTCCTCGGGTGAATGTATTTCACCGTAACAATGTCAAATGTGCATTTTACTTTGGGTGGTTTAGTAGTTAACCATCATGGCGTAGTACTCGACCTCCAAATTGTACATATACTGCTTTGTTTGCAACTTATTACTTTGGAATTCTTTTTTGTGTTCCAGCTCGCTGACACCACTAGATGTCGCGGTCTCTCGCGAAAAGGAGACTTTGACGTGCAAAGACGTCCTGCGTCACTGTCCGCCGTTCCGCCTCCACCACCACTCCCTGCCTCTGCAGAGAACCAGCTGGTCGACTACGCACACCGCCGTCGTTCTGAACCTGCTCCTCTACGTCAACCTACCTACTCCGCATCGGAGCCTACATATTCGAAGCCGCGTTCGAAGCGGACCTCCTTGGACTATTTTATCAGACGGGATCAAGAGATACGCCAGTGGCAAGAGACACGATCCTTTGAAAGGGAACATAGGCGGTCCCTGCCTAAGCATCATTATCATTATGGGACGCCGCATCCAGTGCCTGCTAGCTTCCATACCTCGTCACACCATCATCGTACATTTGTCTCACACCGGTCCGCAAGCTTCCGCGACGCATTTGAACGATCTCGACTCCCCGATGTTGAGCTTACTCTCGACCGCTTACACGATTGTCTCCGTTCACAGTTAGATCGTACCAAACAGGCTCTCACTCCGCAGAGCACCACACCGACTGCCGATTGTTGGACGCCATCAGGTCCCCGCGGAGGCGGCGGATCAACGAGCGATTTTTTCGCGGCTTCCGATCACGGCGCTCATCGTTACTCGTCGCGTCGTCACGATAAATTGTCCCATCGTTCAGCGGTTACTTGATACTGTAAGCTTATCCGGTTATTCTTCACTCAGTGTTTCATAATCATGTTCGTTATCGTACTGCAACTCTCTCACGATTCTTACCTCTGGCACTCCCGTCTTACCGCACCAGTTGGTTGGTTGCCGACCGGTAGCCGAAGTAATGAAGTGTGCCTTGCGGGGTATCTCTAGCCAGCGCGCGACTGGTGGTGTTCACATCGCAGCCTAACGTCGGTACGGCGCTGATGTCTTTCTTTTCCTCAGCATCCTTTACACAAACACTTTTCACTCACCAACCAAGTAGGCGACTCACTTTTCTGTTATGGGCTTGGTGTCTCGTTACACTGCAACTGGAAGCTAATTGCATAAGCAAAATACTGTTCTTTTTCGGCCGTATTTTCCAAACGCTTCAAGTAAACGGTTATCCAGCCCACTTCATACGAAAGCACGCAGTGATTCATGATCGTCATGAATTGATTACAACTGCCCCCAAGGAAGATGTGTTTCTATCAGTTCCCTTTAAGGGAGTTATTACTTCGACTTGCTGAAAAAAAGTGTTTCCGCTGCAGCAGCTCGAACGTTTCCAGCTACATATCCACACATCATTGCTGAAACTGTGCCGTTTGTTGCCCAACGTCTCAAATACAGACTCCCGGTCCAGTCCAAATCTTATATTCTATATCAATTTACTCGCACCTGTGGTGTGAAATACCTCGGACATCAGACTAGGCGTCTGTCTAAACGGATATCGGAGCACTGTCCCACGGCATTGCAGAAGGGTACTGTCGGTTGCATCAAGAGTTCTAGCCTAGAACATCTGGTCGGAAGTGGACATCAAATCAAGGCTACTGATGCTTTCAGTGTTTTATGTTGTTCGAAAACGCTACCCCAAGGGGCTTAGGAAACGAATGTTACGGACGGCCGAAGCCATTGCGATCAGGCTTACACAACCTGAACTATGCAAACAGAGAGCGCTTATTCAAGCGCTCCTTCGGCCCTGGGTCTAACACACTTCCAAACAGCTTCCACTTCACACGTTGACAACCACCTGGTGATGAGTGCGTCACCCAGTCAGTTGAAAAGCACGTCCTATGTCTCGTGAGCATACGTGTGTGTGTGTGTGTTTCTGTCTGCCTACCTATACTGTGGTAGCCGCTGTTTGAGTGGATCGACCAATTTATCGACTAGGACAGCTCACTTTCTGCCTCGCTTTGATTCGCTAACCTTTGTCGCGCTTCACCAGCCTATCCCGCTTTAACTTTTCATTTTATAATCCTAAACGCCTGATGAAATTTATCAAAAGGAGTGCTCTTCGCTACCTTGTGTTTTATGATTCAACTTCTCCACATGTTTCTTAGTGGTTCACTTTTAAGGAAACGCAATTGAATGATTTTTTCGGCAAATCACATCAGGCAACTACGTCTACGTAGGTGCTGATATAACCACAAGCTAATGGATGCTGAAGTGCAAATCGTTGTAGGTCTGAATTGGCTCACTTTTTATTCGTGTAAGGAATCAAATCGATTGACTTAGGTGGTAGCAGTCTGTGTTGTCGATGGAAGCTGACCTGATATGACCTCACCTGACAGAGCTCAGTGGCGTTTGCAAGAAACAAATTAGGTGAACCGAGAGGTGAACTCACCCTCGACCATCACATCAATGTCCCTTATCCATGGATCTTCGTCATCGCCACGGCAATGTGAGACGTTGCAACAGCATCGTCTGCTTACAAAGCTCTGGTTGCGTTAACTGGATCGCTACCGCTTCGGCTGTCTTTAGGGCGCGTTTCCTAGGTCCACTCCGATATCGCTTCGGCACCGTTGAAAAAATGTTGAAAGCATTGTTGATCGGAATTTCGTGTCCACTTTGAACCAGATATTCAACATCTGTTACTTCCGATGCCTTTCCGCAGACCCAGGACACTACTCAGCTATCCGTGTCGACAGACGCTTGTCAGAAGTACTTAACAACACAGGTGCAAGTAAACTGATATACCAAGTACGATTCAGATTTGACCGGTTTTCAGTCTTTAAGGCGCTGAGCAATAACCGGAGTGCTCTCTATAAAAATTTATGGAATGGCGGCTGAGTAGGTTCTGATGACCGTGGCGGAAAGTAGGTCGAAAACGATATCACACTTGCTGGAATCGTGAAAAATATCCATTTTTAAGACTGATGATAGCCTCACTGTGTCCATAGGTCGTAGCGTGATTTTTGTTAAAGTAGACAGGATAACCGTTTGAAAGCGTTTCAAATATACGTTCTTTCTCATTTTCTAGAGCATGTGGACTGCAGATTTTGTAGGTTCATTAATATCTACTAGCGAAGTAGATTACGTTTATAACGGTGACACGCAACTTAGAAACTGTGTATAATTTTCCGCCAACGAGGCTTCCGGAAGTTGCTTCTCTCAAGTGAACCGTCTTCTCATCTCGCCATTAGTACGTCCAGGAGCAACAGATTTCTTTCTTTCTCGATTTCTTCGGTGAACTTCAAGGATGGGTGTGCACCGTTAAGTTGATCGAGTAAACCAACTAAATCAGCGCTCGAATCACAGAGAACGAACGTGTCATTTGTATACCTGTAGTAGAAATCCAATGAAGCAATAAGCGGTTGGATAGGTCGACGTTCAAGCTTTTCGAGGAAGACACAGGCGAGCAGATGTTCTAGGCACCAAGCCATAGCAAATCCTACTAAAGATCATATATATATATATATATATATATATATATATATATATATACAATCGCATCCAATTCAACGTGTCGACTGATTACTTTAATTGTGAAATGCCATGCTTTTAGGAAATCACTTGCTTTCCTCTTACGCCCAGGCGCTAGAATCTTTGCCTTTTCCGAGTAAAAATGATGCATTCGAACCCAATGTGTAAAAACTAGTGACTGTGGATCATGTGGTTCTCTGTGCTCCGTGCAAGGAATCTTCCTGTTTGTGTGTTGCTTGTCAAATCTATTGCATATTACCTGGTAGATGTCGTTGTGGTTGTTTTGGCTGCCTAGTTTGATCTTATCCTTCATTCCGGAAATTTGCCTTCCCAGGATAGCGTTTCGAATATACTGTCCCTTGATTCTGTGTGGTTATACTTCAAATCTACTCCCCTCATTTGGAAATTTTTCATTATGTTTTCCACAGGCTTCTCACTGGATCACACTCCACTCTTGTCCGGCGAATTTACAATATCTCCTCAGTGAGATCAGTACCCAACACAGTGTTTTATTGTCTGTTCATCCACTTTAACCCGAGCATTTTTGTACAGCTTACTCATTACTCCTCATCGCATTCCATCAACATCGTTACTCCCCGTCGTGCTATTTAATTCGCACTTTCCCCCTCTTTCATCTCCTTTTTGTTTCGCCCGTACGCCATTGTACAAAATCTCCTTCCTCCCCTCCCCCCCCCAACTGCTATGCCTCATTGCATTTGCTCGGTGGCGACGGAGTTGTTTTCCACACACACACACAACACTCGCACTCTGGGCACACAGTCGTACTTTGCTTTTCATTTGTACAGTTCCTTGATCCACCAGTTCATCGTGTGTTTTGAATAGTCCAGTTATTTTCCTCTTCCACACACACTCACACACATGTTATTTGATTCGGGATTTTGTAAACTTGTCCGGTACCCCTCCTTTCTGAGTCGCAGTCGTGTATTGCTTTTACTTTTCCAGTTGGTTCCGCAAGCACTCCGTCTCTTTTGCTTTATACGTAACTCCACATTGTATCTGGACTTCATGTGTTGCGATCCACTGTCTTCATACACGCGCACACTTTTCCTCCTTTTTGCCCATTTATACTTACCCAACCCGACGGCAGCAGCGGCGGCGGCGGCTCTGTTCGCGTTCCAATTCATTTGACTCGGCGAACCACCCACGCTATGTGATGATCCCCTTGGTGATCCCTTTCTTTCTCATCTGAACCACTTTATCCCTCATTCCTTTTCTTATTATTGAACTGATGCATTTCGGACGGCACGCGTTTATCCACTTCTACCCTACCCGGTTCCAATTTATATACTCCACCGAACTTTAATTTCCCCCTTATTTATGCTTAATCATTTTTCACACCTCCATCATTCTGCTTGCCACGCACACATGTATTCACTCTCTCATTACTGTTATAACTGGATTCTTCTCGCTCGCTCGCGCGCGCGCACACACGCACGACATTTCTCCTTTGTTTGGATCCGTCCCGTCTACTCTCTTCGTCGTCGTCGCCTTCATCACTGCACGCGATGCCACTTTTAAGCATTGCGGCCGACTCTTGTGTCTGTACATTACACAACAACCACACTCTATTCATCCTGGCATAGGCTCTTGTTGCCCCTTGTTCTCTGCTCCATCCACCCCTTGGGGCTGTATTCCCATCGTTTGGATTTCCTATGCGTTTTATTCTCTCACTCTCTCCACTTGGAGAACCACCGATGGTTATTGCCCTAACGGGTCGCTGTATGTATTCCTTCAAGATACTTTTCTTTATCTCTCGTGGTCAGCGGATAATCACATCCTGTTAAAAACTAAAAGCTTCTCAGCAAAACGGTTGTCCTTGTGCTACTTACAAATGTGATTTCATCAGACCGGGACGGGGTTACACTTCTCGATCTCTATGGTACACTTTGCTTTGTGATCAGCTTTTAGAACTGAGGTTGGCGCGTGACCGAATGGACAAAGCGTCTGCGTTACAACCCTGAGTTCACAGGTTTGAGCCGGCGTAGGTTACCTAGCGACCTTCGTAGTATTCTTAGCCCTCTGGTGCTGGTTGTGTGGCAGCGAAGCGTCGGTACAGCGTACTGCTGTCGCCTTTTAGAACTGAGCCACTACAGCTTGATCACTGAAATCGTTGCTTGAGCACCTGCTTGTCTAAAGCGCGCTACTGGCTTGATGTTGTATTGATGGTTCTCGTTCTCCGGTGTGCATAATTGTGACAGCGAACAGCCGCCGCAAAACACTAGCGTCTACCGAAGTGTAAATCTCAAGGAGTAGACAGGAGCCTGTCCACAGGCGTTATATCTGGGCACATTCGTACTAGACGTCAATCGGATCTGGTCCAGGCACTGTCCCGCTGCTCGTTTATTTAATCTCTTTCAACAACGATTTCCATCCTATGCAACCGCTGGTAGTACCGAGCTACTGGACATCATCATCGGGTACAACCCGGATCCAACTTCACTCAGTGCTACGCGCCACCCATTCATATGCAAATAGACTAAAGCGACAAGGCATGATTCGTGTCTAGCCAGTCCCTTTTATCGTTCCTATTCCTATGATTGACTCGAATATCTACTTCCTTGTCCGATTTTCGAGCTGCCGTCTTTCTGATGATCTCGAGGTGACCACCGGTATTGTACTCTTACTTCTAAAGACATTGAGAGACTGATCACGTTTGATGACTGATCAGCCTGCGAATTGCTGATCACACCTCCCGGTTGAAGACTCTCCGGTCACGTTTTTGAGTGTTTTTGAACTGAAATGTTATATACTGTATGATCGCATATTCGTCGAATATGTCGGCGTGGTTGCCAATGATACCTCTGGTGTGGTGAAACTCCGCGGTTGCAAGTCGTTAACTTGAGAAAACGGTAGCAGGAAACTCACCGAGCAGTTAAGCGGCGTTTGTTCTTGTCATCTCCCCAGATGGGAGTCCGGAATTCGGGCGCTTCAGTGACCACATACCCCGTTGGATATGACGCGATCACAAGGTCCGTAGCGCTACTGCGTTCGTTTCGCTTTTTGATTCTTAATTTCCACTTTCCATGATTTTAATTCGTCCCTTTAATTGCCATTATTTTTGCTGTTTGTCAAAACAACTGGGTCCACTACTTTCACATTACGTAAATAGTGTTTGTTTACTCGGCTTGGTTTGTGCCTAGTATTTGTGTTGATCGCACAAATTTCTATCCATCTTTCCGCCTTTGACATAATCGGTGGCATCTGGCACTCGTTTAGCTATTTGCTTATTGACTGTTGACTCTGGGAGCTGTATTCCAGTTATGCGATCTGACGTCTACTATCGCAATTCTACACGAACACATGCAGGGACGGAAAGCTCGCAAAAGAAAAATCACTCAGATCACGAACGAAACACAATTTCGTCTTCGAATCAATAGCCTAAACCGCATAGTCGGGAATAAAACTTTATTTACAAATGCGTTGCGATGATAAACCAGGCATACACCGGTAAAGCGCCTGAGGGTCTACACTATCAGCTGTGTGAACTTGGTTAGTCACAGTCCTGGTCCGAGGCGGGAACGCATTTGCGCGCCGTTTAGTGAGTAAAATGACAGCTGGTGGTCTCAGTGCTCGCTGAGTTCGGCAGGTTGACTGCAAACGTTTCCTCACCACTCGAGGTGACATCGTCAGTGCGCGTGTAGTTAGCAGGGTGACGTCACTGACGCTTCGTACGCGCCACTCTGCTAATTACACGCGCACTGACGATGTCACCTCGAGTGGTGACGAAACCTTTGCAGTCAACCTGCCGAGCTCAGCGAACACAGACCACCAACTGAACAACCTGAGCTACCAACCTTTGCTTCCATATCGCAAGATGACAGCTAATAATAGATCCATTTTTGGTTGATCCTAGTCTATTTTTTTGGGATCCAGCGTTTTGTGAACATTTGCACAGGCACTCATCCTTACCGCCAGTTGTAAGCACCTTTTCTGTTCAATGCTGGTATTCCGTTTTCCTCATCCAGCTTTCATCCTAGATTGTTCCCGGTTTTTGGGGAAATCAGCTCGACCGTAGGCTGCACTTTCATTTTAAATTTTATTCCCACACACAGCACTTCGATTGCAGCCTTGACCTTCGCATTTGGGAAGTGTGGACTGTAGTTATTGCACTATTCGCCATATTCAAACGTTCTAAGTACCCAGCTGCAAGTTGAAGGTGATAGACACACTCAGGTTTCTGTGTGAAACTCCGATTTCGCAATCCGTCTGCGCACTGCCACCACTTGGTTACTCCTCGACTTCTGGTTGCAAGTTACTCTTGTGATATACTAACCTCTTCCATGTTGAGTTTTGCAGCACCCGCCGTGTGTCTTGGATTACGACACAGAACCTCGATTGTGACTTCTGTTGACATTGAAGTCAGCCTCTGCCATTCCGATCACTGGGACTGTGTCCGAAGTGGAGGGTTTCAATGTGTCTCTCTCCTTTCCCTGCACTCCATGACCGACGGTTTGGTCCTTGTTTGGATTCACCTGCGAGCCAACCATGAGTTCAAACAAGGACGAATCGCGTTATAGAGTGCAGTGATAGGAGAGAGCAACACCGAAACTCTATCTTCCATGTTCTTTGGCGGATCAACAGGCTTCGCCTCGCGAGTACATATAGCCTGAGTTATCCGTCTTGTTGCATTTACGAAAGTATCGGAAATTACCTATTCTACACTGTGCCCTTGCTTAGGGCGGGTCATTTTGTAGGATCACGATCAAGCATAAGGGTTCACTTTTGCCTACACGGGATTCATGTCATGCTAGATATCATTTACTGACTGTAACCCCCGTTCTAGTTACCCTTGATGCAAGTGTTGGCAAAGTGCTTACCGCTAGAATACCGTCACCTCATTTGCTAGCCAAGGTTGCTTCGAATTGTAAGAATTTGGGTGGCGGGGTGCACAGTATTCGCGACAGTACTAGGTGCAAGTTGTGGTTCTATCCCGTGTGGAACGAAGCACGACTCAGCTACCGTCCTGTGTACACTTGATCTGCGTGTTTCTCCCGTTTTCCACGAATGATGTGCGTTTCTACTGGATATGGGATGTATGAATGGAATTTCGATTAACGAAACGCCCGCTACTCATTGTCGTTTGTAAACAACTGGCAAAGTCGAAACGGGTGCTGTGTGAGTCACGCCTACAGCTGAGCGAATTGCTTCGAAACCTAGCTTCATTGTATACAATGTACGCAATGCTCGCAGGTAGCGGGAATCGCAGTTAATCCCCAAACTCACCCCGTCCCATACACAACCACGGCAATGTCAAACTTCATGGTTGCTTTGCATCGATCGTTGTGCAATTTCGAGAAGATGGATACACCAGTGTTGCCTCTTAGTGTTTCACGTTGTTATCTCCTAACTACCCAACGCTAAGACGCGAACACAAGCAGTCGAATTCGGACAGTGCGTATTACGTAGTGTCTCGCACCTGCACAGACTCGAACCGGTAACCTGTGTAGATTACAAGCCAAGCACCATCAACATTCCTTATCACCATGCTGTCTAGTTTCTCTTAGTATGTTCAATTTTTGTGCTGCAGCTCAGATGTCAGTCGAACAACTGTGATCCGAGCACCGAAATGCAGAGATCTAGTTTCCACGACT